GAGAGTTTCTTGAAACTTCAGCTTATGTTACAATACTAACACGCTACACTATCGTTTACGTACACACATATATTGTTGATTCTTACACTCGAAAATATTCTACAACTTTAGAAAATTGGCAAGAGTTTCGCAATACAGATTTAACAAAGAAGTTATGTACATTTCTAAATATAAATTTAATTTAAACAAACATCGATATTAAAATAAATATATAATAATAAATCGTCACAGATGAAACAAAGACGTCGTCTTTGTTGCACGTATTAATACGGTATTAATAATCCAAAGATTTTGGATTGCAAGGTTAAACCAGGTATGGCTTAGTTGTTAGCGTGCCAGACTGTGGATCCATATGGTTCGCATCTCATTGCCGAAAAAAAAGAAGAAATAAACGAAAAATTGTTGTCCATATTTATGAGGTACGGATGAGTTATGAAACTAACGGTCAATTATTCTATTAGATTAGAGAAATCCAAGAATTGGCGGTTGGTGCTATTGATATATTGCCTTCTATATATGCTATTCGTTCAAACTGGAGAAGGCTAGCGTAGCTTGCTTTGTGCAAATATCTGAAACAAAATAGACCAAATGATTAAAAAAACCTTCTTACACAACTCCCTCCTGCTCATATATTACCTTAACAAAATGCACCCCAGTGGCTCAGCAGCAATTCTGCAAGCTTACGACGCTAAAATTCTCATTTCGACACCCATGGTGAGAAAAGCACAGAGAACCCATTATATAGATTTGCGCTCTTAACAATAATAATCAACCAACTAACTTCAGCAAAACAAGTATATTTGGAAGGTTCGTAAACAAATATATCATCTAACATTTAGACTTTTTAGATAAAATAAGCAGAAATTGTATTTGCATAGTAACAATAAAAAATCTATAAAATTAATTGAATTTTCATAACTTAGTTAAAACTTTCAAATATATGAATACTACCCACCTCACAGCACTACAAGAATTAAGGAAACATCTTAAAATCGACAGTTTTTTAGTTTCAGATTAAAAGCAATACACACATAATTTCACTCAACCTTAAAGCACTAAAACGTATTATTTATAAAATAAAACATATAAACATTACAGTTTTCTCCAACTGAAAACATTGTTAAGTAAATAATGATAGAAACGATACATGAAATGATTCACGAGAAAATGTAGTTCCTATTCCTCAAAGCCAGTTATTCTGCATATGTATTTAGTTATTACATCATATTTTTTCATAATCAAAAGGTAGTTTCTTCTCTCAAATTTTTGTGCTCTCCTGATTTAATTTTTCAGATAGAAAAGTATTTTTTAAACACAGTTTTGCGCATTAATACAAATATGCAATATATAATTTTTCCCATAATCCTACTGGTGTTAAGGGAAGGTCATCAGGAAAGGCATAGTTATAGAGTAATACTTTATTGTTGAACAGGATTGTAAGATCTAAATACGATTACATTGCTTTAACGATATTTAGAATACCAGGCCAAATTTGGTGAAAAATGAATCTAGGAAGGTTTGCAGTTCTCGCACGAAACTTTACAACGTCCGCTTTACGTAGAAGCGGCCATGGAGGGATTCCTGGAGACGTAAGTGTGAAAATGGTGCATTCGTTTATATTATTAATATTATAGTAGTATCGAATAGGCTTAATTCTCATACTTTTGAAGCTGGTATTGTGGTATACTTTTTAAATGTAATTTATATTCGCCTACCCCATGATTCTGATACTGAAAACATATTCAAAATTACGTATATTCAACTAGAAAATCGTGTTATTTTTCATATTAATTTTTACTGAATTTGTTAGTATTAGTGGTACCGCTAGAACTAGTACTAATAGTAATAGTATTTGAACATATAAATTGATAATATTAAAACATTACAAATATTATTTTTTTTACAACAATGTAAAAGATAAGCAGTGGAAATATAGTTTAACATTTAGGCCATGATGTAGCTACTTCACAGCCTGATGAATTTCTTAAAAATTACTGTTCTACAAATTTTAAGAGTAAAAGTTAATTTTCTATGGATGGTGTCTGTAATTGAATTATAGTTTTTATAATAATAAATATCATGTATAAATGTGACTGCAGTATGCCTGTTAATATTGTTAATTTTTATTGAAATGTGAGATTCTTGTAATAACTGTAGCAGAGAAAGTATGAAATGGGGAAACATTAAATTATACTTAAATTTATAAAATTATATTATACAAACCTGCCAATATTAGAAAGAGCAGGCTGTGACATTTTTGCACAATTACAGTAACTGTTGGTTTGAATATTTTAAATGAACCATTAGGTAAATATATCACAATTTAGGTGTTTAATTAATTAAAGTAAATTTTAGTTTTTAGAGAACAAGATTAGAGTTACAGTACTAGACCTTCAACTTGATTCAAAAAGATCTGGTAATTCTCACAGTTATGCTTACATTATAGGATTTAGATTACAGGCTCTAAATTTGCCTTGGATGGCTGTACATAACAGGTTTGAACACTAGAAGGTTTGAAGACTTGGTTATTTTTCAGGTCCTGTAATTGTTTGGACTTGGCAAATAGAGTCAGTAATGTAAATGAGATTAACAGTTGAAATATAATTGAACATTTAAATTGTAGCTATGTCAAGTCCTAATGAATCACTTAGTTACTATTCCAAACATCTTAAAGTTGATTTTTAATGTATGGTGTGTGTACTCTGAGCTATACTCTTAGCTATACTTCTGTATGGCATCTAATCAAAATCTTTTTGAAAATCTAAGTACACTAAGTCCATACCCATAACATTGTCCATATAGCAAGAGTATCATTGGAAAATCAGATCAGTATGGCAACTGGTGAATACACGTTGGCTTTAATGTGGTCAGTATACTTGTCCTATAGTCATTTCAAGGTATTAGTTAGAACTTGATTTAGTAAAATCAGGCTATAAGTTCTCGGACACTTTTAAAAATTGCATACTAATCTTTATATATTAAAAATAATATATTATTTACTTGTTTTGTATTGTCAAATATTGATAATAAGCATACAAAATATCTTCTGTAGATCTCAAATGAGAATTCTTTTAAATTAAACTTGTTATATAAAACAAAAGAATAAGGTGGTATTATGAAAATTTTGATTTTATAATTTGAATTAAAGTTGCTATTCAAAACCCTTGATTGCAGTGGTAGCTTAAATAACTAGGCCTCTAAGCTGACTTGTGAGGAGGCACTATTACAGTGGACACTTTTTTTGTTGTTTTTTTAATAGCTGACTTGTTATAGAAAATATTGTAGTTTATGGACAAGAATAAATCTAAAAGCCCAGTTGACCTTGTTTTTATACTTAAAATAGATATTGAGTATTTCATGTTGTTTTTCCATTTTGATTGTATTTCTTTGACAGCTTTATTTTTCCAGTGGATTCTTGTTATTATGAGATATTTTGACTTAATGAAAAGTTACTCAAAATAATTAAACACTAGAATAAAGAGCAGCTACATTAGAAAATAGTTTGGCAGGGTAACGTACTGGAAATAAAATGTTTAAGTTCAGTAATTTTAAGGTATTTTCCAATTGAATTGATTATCAGCTTAATACAGCTCAAGAATCTGTTTGCTTATAATATTCAAAAATGCAATATTTTTCTACATAAATTGATATGCTTCTTGGTCAGATTAGTGTAAAAAGCTTAAGAGAAAACAATATGATGATTATGAATCCAACATACTTGTATAAGAACCTTAAGAGTTTTTTAAAAATTAAAATTAATTCTTGTACAATAAATCTTTAAGGTTTGCTAATGAAAACTATTCTATATTTATGTAGAATCTTCCATTTTCTATTGAGAACCGATACAAGCTGACAGTCCTTTTTGTACTGTTCTTTGGGAGTGGATTTGGTGCACCATTCTTGCTTCTAAGACATCAGCTGCTTAAGAAGTAAATTGTGATACATGATGTCACTGATACATCTGTGTATGTGAGTACAACTTGTGAAAGATTTTCTTATGTTTAAATTTTTAGTTGGGTGAAAGAGTGCTTTGGAAAATTAAAATCTGAATCTATTTAACATTGGTTATTCACTACTTTCAAATGCTAATATACAGCTTCATGTAAGTTTTATTGTTATAATAATTTCTTAATATAGACGATTGTTCATGATTTACAATACCTATTTTAATATTCAGTTACCTTTCCGTTGGACATACCTATGGTCTGCAACTTCACAGGTTGAAATTCCTAACTCTCATGAAGTGTGGTGATTTGCAAGTATAGATGATACATAGATGGATACTTACATTAGAGGACTTTATGATGTGAGGCATGAAATATTTTTTTATCATTTTAAAGAAAGGGACAGCTGTAGTGTTTAACTATGCGGTAGTGCTAGGGAAGATACAATCTCAGCAGGTAGAAATAGGCTACTTCATAACCAGTCTACAAAAGTGACTATGAGTCATTTCGCAACCTTCTTCTGGAGTCCATAGCTATAAAAAAAAAAAGAAGATTTGTAAAGAGCAGTTTGTGAAATGTGATAAGTGGAAATATGTTAAAATGATATGCAGACATATCTATCCTACCTGGTTTAGCAATAGAGATTTTAAACATTTTTTGGTTACTGAGCTTCCATGTGAAATGTGACAGTAGAAGTATGCTATTATGGTATGTGGGCATATCTTTCCTACCTAGCTTAGCGATAGAGAAAGAGATTTAAAAAATTGTTAAGTTATTTAGTTTCCATGCTGTAATGGTGGCAACACATGGTCTAGAAAGTTGGTAAGATCATCTTATTTCAGTTCCATTGTTTCTTTGTTCTCTGTATTAGGTAATGTCTATTCTACTCGGTAGTTTATAGCATCTAGGTTGAAGGAATTGGTACTGTAATATCCTTTGCTGGCTGATCATGGTGTTGACTAAATATAAGAGCCAACTATTGCTATTAGGGCACAAAGGTCATGAGGTGACACAGTCAACTGGGCAAAGAAGGCAAGTTTATTTGTTGAATTCAGGTGCACTGTCTTTAGCTAGTTTCTATTAGGATATCAAGTGAAGACTTCTCAATAACAGTGTTTAATTTTATAGAGATTAATTCTGAGGAAAGTTGTGGAGCTAAACAGCCTAGTAGAAAGGATTATCATTTCATATGCTCAGGTACACACGCATGTCTGTTTAGTTGTTGTAATAAAGTTTTTTTTTCACTTACTCAAATTAGACAAACAGTTATGTAAATGTATGCTAGTAGCACTGGTATACCATTTCTGTAATAGCATGTTCAATACTTGATGTCTAGTAGAAGACAGGCCATTATTGTACCCCATATGCAATTATTTTTCATAATGCTTCACTTTTTTTATATAATTACAGAATTTACAAAGATATCTAGAAATTTATTGACTAGGAAATCTGTGGGCCTTATGGCCCACATTTACAGGGCTGCTATAAAGCAAATTTAATGCTTCAACTACAGTTTTGCACTTTTTTCACTTTAATGATCATTTCCAATATAACACAAATTTAATTTCTCTAACTAAGTTACGAACAGTAATTAGTAGGCCTAATTATTTATGTGCTCAAATGTAAATCAATGGCAAATTTGGGATCTACTTTCAGAGAATCCCCATAAAAGTGTTCTTGAAATGCTCGGGTTCCCTAAGGGGTGGGGTGAAAAGTTTTACTTGTGCGCAAACCTCAGGACTGAGATTGTTTGTTTGGTATCATTTAGAAGTCAATGTGACCAGTGATTTAGGAGAAGTTATGTGGCACACACAGACACCGAATCTTATTATATATAAAGCTATTTGTAGAAGAAACTAACATATCCTCAGTGTTGTTTTTTTTTTGTTTTAATGTTTGATACATTAAATGGAATTTAGTGCTTCTAGATCAAACTAAAGGCTTGGAAATGTTTTTACACATTCTTTAGAAATTATTCCTAAAAAAATGTTTGTATTAAATAATTTTTGTTTGAAAACTACAGAAACTTGCTCATGTAACAAACATGAGGTAAGCTTAGTTAGATTTAGTTAGTATGGTAGGTGATGGCAAATTATTTTCCCATCAACTCAAACCTTTATTTTTGAGGTATTATTTTCAAGCTTATCAATTAAACAGTGCACATAAATAAAGTAACTTGTTATTTATTGAAAAGAAACCATTTATTAGATGTAAATTGATCTTGATAAATAATAATAATATAAAAAAACATTGCTAGCAAAAACGTTTCTAACTACCTTGATAAAGGTCATGGTGATATCATTGTGAAAGGTCATGTCCTAAGTTTTATCCATGTTTTTTATAGTTCATAGTTGTAAATGGTGATTACTGCAGTTGGCAAAATCAGTGTATGAAAATAAAATATGTTAATGAATTATCAACCATTAAAAAAAAAGAAAGAAATTCGAAGACTAAATGGGTGTATTTTTGTTGTTTTCAAAATCTTCTCACAAAAAATTTTGGAGATTCCACAATGTTGAAAATAACAAGAAACCCAAATCAAATTGTTATTTTTTTAAATAAGAAACTATATACTGTTTAGTAACTTTGTAAGTTTCATGCAATTTTGTTAACTATTTCCACTGTGAGTTGACAAAAAATTGAGGGATATCAGTGGCATCCATCCAGTTTGGAAAGGCTTAAGAGTCTACAGAAGTATGAACAACGTATTATTGTATTAGGTTGTCAAGAAATTAATGTTGCATTTGGGAACACTTTCATTAACCACCCCCTAAAAACGTACATCACGTACAATAATAGTTAAACGAACTG